TACTCGGGATAGGTATTAGTGTTTCAAAATAGTAAAACGTATCACAACAATTATATCGTCAGTAAAGTGCACTTTCACTGATGATATCATCGTTGTGATATGTTTTACTGATTTTAAACACTAATATATTTGTGTTCAGCAAAGTCTCCTGAGTAAAACAATACCCCCCATGTACAGGGTTTATGGTGTCCTGGAAAGTTACAGGGTTAAATATAGGGTTTGCAAGCCAAATTCTCTGGACTTTCTTCCTGGGTTGTCAGGCAGGTCCTCCAAATTGTAATTAATAAAATGACTTAATTATGTAAAAATATTATATAAATATATTTGTAGATTTTATATATGTATATATATATATATATATATATATATATTTGTGTATATATTTGTGTATATATATCTATATATATATATCTATATATATATCTACATATATATGTATATAGATATATATATAGATATATAAATATATATATAAATAAAGTAATGATAGCACTCCAAGGACTTCGAAAATATTGTGAAAAAACTTAGCTTTTTATTCAGGCATCTGCCACAGAAGATCAACGTTTCAGTTCTCTAAGGAACTTTCATCAGGATACAGTGCAATACAAACAACAGTGTTTAAATAACCCACAAGTGAATTAACATAATCAATAAACTGTATACCGGCTGTACTCACAATTATCCCCTGGTCTGGTTGCAGCTGCTGCTGCAATAAAAAAAAAAAAAAGAGAATGGCCAGACCTCTAGTAAAAAACAGTGGAGTGGAAGGGAATGGAGCTGGGCTCTAAATAAAATGGCCGCCCAACGTCCTTAAGGGGTTAATGTTATATGTACTTATATTTCTATTTAACAAATATGTATTTGTAAGGTGAGAAAAATAAAATTAAATGTCTATATCCGAACCTCTTCATCTTGCAAAGGGCTGCCCCCATCTTAGCTCCTGTCAGACATTGTTAAGTTGTTTTAAGTTGTAAGTCAATTGTCTAGTTCTGCCCTTTGCATTTATCAATCAACGTGGAGAAAACATAAAGAGAAGATGAGCCATGAAGTAATACTTCTTTCTCCTACTCATTTGTAATGTTTGTCCTGGCTCTGTCTTGCTTGAACTCGTTTATGTTATAATTTGCTAAATCATTAATGAAATATTAAAACAATACAAGGCATTGCATGAAAAACGTTGTAGTTGGATTTTAATATTCTATCCAATGGTGTTTCAAGAGAAGTAATCGTTCACATTTAATTAAGCGGGTGTCAAAAAGAAGGGCTGATGATTAAGGGCATATAAAGTTTAATTAAACCTGTGGCAGGTTCAAAGCAAGGTTTAAAAACACGAACGATGGCCTAGCAGTGACTGCCTCTTATATGATTCCTCCTCTTACTACTCTACAGATTAGTCAAATTTAGGGTTTCTGGTCTATTATGATAGATTGATATGTATTATATAGATCTTTTTTCTAGAAAGCCTTAAGGTATTTTTGAAGATTAGGTTTCTAGAACAGGAAATGATTTTGTAGGTGAGATATTAAAAAACGAGCTATCGCAAGCTATCAGATCCCTATCCTGCTGATAATCCCTCTTTATATGCTGCTCTGCATTTTGTTGGTAAGCCCTACCGCATTGTCCTCTAGTATGCTTACATTTAAATCTGTAGTGACAATAACTTGGACCCATTCTCTTTAATATTTTTATTAGTGATATTGCAGAAGGTCTTGATGGTAAGGTATGTCTTTTTGCTGATGATACTAAGATATGTAACAGGGTTGATGTTCCAGGAGGGATAAGCCAAATGACAAATGATTTAGGTAAACTAGAAAAATGGTCAGAATTGTGGCAACTGACATTTAATGTGGATAAGTGCAAGATAATGCATCTTGGACGTAAAAACCCAAGGGCAGAGTACAGAATATTTGATAGAGTCCTAACCTCAACATATGAGGAAAGGGATTTAGGGGTGATTATTTCTGATGACTTAAAGGTAGGCAGACAATGTAATAGAGCAGCAGGAAATGCTAGCAGAATGCTTGGTTGTATAGGGAGAGGTATTAGCAGTAGAAAGAGGGAAGTGCTCATGCCATTGTACAGAACACTGGTGAGACCTCACTTGGAGTATTGTACACAGTATTGGAGACCGTATCTTCAGAAGGATATTGATACCTTAGAGAGGGTTCAGAGAAGGGCTACTAAACTGGTTCATGGATTGCGGGATAAAACTTACCAGGAAAGGTTAAAAGGATCTTAACATGTATAGCTTGGAGGAAAGACGAGACAGGGGGGATATGATAGAAACATTTAAATATATAAAGGGAATCAACACAGTAAAGGAGGAGACTATATTTAAAAGAAGAAAAAAACTACCACAACAAGAGGACATAGTCTTAAATTAGAGGGACAAAGGTTTAAAAAATAATATCAGGAAGTATTACTTTACTGAGAGGGTAGTGGATGCATGGAATAGCCTTCCAGCTGAAGTGGTAGAGGTTAACACAGTAAAGGAGTTTAAGCATGCATGGGATAGGCATAAGGCTATCCTAACCATAAGATAAGGCTAGGGACTAATGAAAGTTTTTAAAAAATTTGGGCAGACTAGATGGGCCGAATGGTTCTTATCTGCCGTCACATTCTATGTTTCTATGTTTCTATGTTTCTATGTTTCTATGTAACTTTAGCCAGAAACAAATCTTTTCAAAGTACATTCATCCTTTGACTTGTCTGAATGCATAATTTTGCATCTCTTCCTCTTAAAGTTTAGATCCCAGATACTTGAACGTATCTCTAGTTTTCTTTCACCTTTATTTCTAGTTTTCTTTAACCTTTAACTGTGGCTAGCTTCTTTAATTTAAATGTACATGCTTTATAAATTGGTTAACGCATTGCATGCCATATACACGACACGTGCATGTACAGCACTGCTGGAGAAAATGTTTAGCGTGCATGTGAATTTGTGACATTTCTCCAGCAGATGTCAGATTGTAAACACACGTTCCAGAGACACGTTCATGGAACAGAAAAGTCACTGCAAACAGGAAGTGTGGTGGAGATGAGTCACTTTATTAATTATTGTCATTATTATTTCTTTACAATTATAGAAAGGGAACATTAGATTTAAAGAGGAGACTGCTCAAACGATCTTGCTATCTACCTCACGGATTTGAGTTAGGTGTCTTATTAGGTGTCTAGCATAAGGACATTATTGGGGAGGTTTTCAATTTCTAAGGCAGTGACGTTACCACTGCTCTAACCAGCTGATATATATTTCACTCACTCCCTTTGCATTATTTGCTGAAATAGAGTTTACTAAGATGAAAGGAAAACAGAACTGTCACTTCTCAGGAAATGACCTCTTCCCTTTAATACTTCTATAGCTTTCACACAACATTCCTTCTCTACCCATATCTATATCTTTATATCGTGTTTTAATTATTTATTTCATTTTTTTATCTACCAGTGATCCAGCATTAGCATTGGTACTACCACAAAACTGTTGTTTCGAATTTTTATATTTTATTTCACTTTAACAACTCGGCTAGCGAAATTTGTATAAAAACAATAACAAATAATAACTATAAAAATAATTCCAGTGAGGTTCACAAGGTTCTGTGATCCTAATAATCTTTCCTGTAATGTTAAGTTCTCGGCAGGATTTGCCAGTACTGTAATAATTTAGTACAGGAGGTGTTTGTACCAGCGAGGCTGTTTAATATTCATATCGCACAATAACATAGTTAGAGAAAGTGTTCTATAATTTCCTGTCAGAATACTCTGCGGAATTCAGGTGAAACCTTTCTTTTATGTGACATGAGTAAGGAAATGAAATACATTGTAATACCTTTAATACGGTGATATTTAGCTGATAGTTTAAGCTTTATGAATTCTTTCTGATGAGAGCTGAGCACTGCAAAAAATTGGGCTAAGCGCTTTAATATGTTCGCTGCACATTCCAGAATAAAAAGCTAATTTTCGGCATTACAAGGGATTTATGATAGGCAGACTTGTTGTCAGTAAATATTATTAAAACATTGTTACTTTATTGATTCTTTCAAAATGATGTAATAAAATAATATAGGAATTGTTGATCAGACTTCAATTCTGATAGCAACAGTCATGCACCATCAATATTTGAAGGAGTTTAGTCGTCTAGCATTGATCAAGTGAGATAAGTTAAGTTCATTAAAAATGTGAAAAATACAAGTACAGTTAGGTATATTCTAAATTTATAGGAATATAGTATTTCAGAAGGGGTTCCTTTTGGAAGACAGCCCATAAGGGCAGTGTGATAGCTCAGTGAGCTAATGCATCATCTGCACAATATGTTCAACCATTTGTGGTTGCAGGTCAGGGCCAGCGTGTGCATAAAGCGGCACAAGCAGCTGCCTTAGTGAGCACCGTCCCGGCCGGTAATAGATTAGAGTGACCGGCAGGAGGTGTTCAATCTCTCCTGCCAGTCACTCTGTGTAGCGTGGCCGAGCAGAGCAGACCACGGTACAGGAGGATCTGTTTCCTGTACCCGGCTGGACTAACAGGAAGTGCTCACTGAGAAGAGGGGCAGTAAGGGACAGGGACAGGGGGGAAAGAACACATGGGTTGGGGGGGACACTATGGGACAGTGGAGGGGAGGAGAACATGATGGGACAGGGGAGGGAGAACACTATGAGACAGGGCTGGAAGAACACTATGGGACAGGGAAGAGATGGGGAAAACACTAAAAGAGAGGAAAGGGAGAGGAAGACAGGGGGGAGAGAGAGGAATATTAAGCAGGGGCACTAAAGTACAGTGGAGGGAAGGGAAAAGGATCATTGGGGTAGGGGGGACCACTAAAAGAGAAGGGAGAGGAACACTAAGAGGGGGGTGGGAGGAACATTAAGGATAATGGGGGGCACTAAGAGACAGGTAAGGTAGGGGAGGTGAACACTAAGGGACTGGGCAAAAAGGGGGGAAGAGTCTGTGCTAAACCAAAAGAGCAGCAACCCTAAAAGGGGAATCCCTCAAGAAACCCTTTAAGAGACAGGAAAATACAAGAGAGGGGGTTAAGGGCTGCGCTGGAAAAATAAAAAAATAAATGAATTAACGAATGATAATAAAACCATCTTATTTTATTATCATTCGTTGATTTATTTATTTTTTTATTTTTCCAGCGCAGCCCTTAACCCCCTCTCTTGTACTAAGGGACAGGGGATGGAGGGGAGAGTAACACTAAGGGACAGGGAAGAGAGGGGAGAGCAACAATGAGGGGCATGGAGGGGAGAGGAACACTAAGGAACAGGGAAGAGGGCCACTAATAGACAGGAAGGGGAGTGAAGATGACCACTAATGGACATTGAGAGCAGGAGAGAGGAACACTAAGGGACATGAAGGGGAGGGTGGCACACTGGGGCCTGAGGGGGGAGAAAGATGCACAGAGGGGCTGGAGATGTAAGCGACACACAGAAGGGCCTGGGGGTGGAAATACAAAGGGGCTAGTAGTGAAAGAGAAACACACAAAGGAGCTGGAAAGAGTAAAAGACACAAAGGGGCTGGGAGAGAAGGAGACACACAAAGGGGGTTGTAAGAGGTGCACAAGGTAGGTGTAAGACACACAATGCGGAAAAATAGGGGATAAGGTACATTAAAGGGGGAAAGATTTTAAAATGGGGATAAGAAACAAAAGGCGGATTAAGAGGCACACAGGTGAAGATGCTTTTTTTGGGGGGGTGGGATGGGATAAATTCATCTTCGCCTGTGTACCCAAAAATACTTGCACCGACCCTGTTGCAGGTTTAATTACAAGGTTGACAACACCCTTGAGTACCATTAAATTGGGTAATAGTAACATCTCCTGGATGTTGGGCAAACTTTGAAACCAGAGTAATCTGAATATACCTTTCCTGGTTTAAATAGTCTGTATAAAATATGCAAATTCTTGGGAATACAGCATAATCATTATAATGTCTAACATGAATGTTTTACAAAAGTGTTATATTATTAGTTAGTACCATTTCTAGACAGACATCCATTAGCACTTCTGTTTCTGTTACGGAGATACGGCATTGCTATCAGTACTATTTATTAATGAAAAAAATATCTTTTCACTTTTTACGAGTTTACAATGAAGTTTATATTTTAAACATACACTAAAATATGGGTATTTTACTGCATATTCCTAAAATTAAAGCATTTTCACTTTAACCCCATCCGAATTTGTACATATAAGGAATGGAGCTGATTAGCCTAAAGGAAATCAGCTTCTTCCCTCCCCATTTTACAGTCTTTATTCATTTTCCATTCAGTTCTTTGGTGCTCTGTTTCATTTACTTTTTATTCTGATTAATCATCATTGATCCAAAAATGAATGAACAAAAACAAACTGGTTTCCAGAGTGCTGACAAAATATTTTTCATCTCATCTTCTTTTACGTATATAGCTAAATGTACTACATTAGCCATCTGCCTAGATTTTCACTGTTTTGCCCCTCCCCAGTCCCCCACTGTACAAAATAGACTATTCACTAAGAATGCCAGGAGAGTCAGATTTACTGTCCCTGATTCTCTTCATATGACAGATATGTTATTTCAATTTTGCCCAAAACAAACCCCTAAATCTGTGTACTCTTATGCACTCTATCATAGCTCTCAGACCCATAATGCAATTTTCGGGGTGTGAGTGTGTGGCCCCAGGTGGGGCTTTTCTGAGAAATGTTAGATGACTTACTGATAACAATTTATGCAACTAAAATATAATTTAGAACAAGAACAATGTATCTTATTTACACTGACTGATTTATAAACACAGTTATTGTAGTTTAAATACACATTACTGAGAACATTATTGCAATGGAGCTCTGTTATACACTGAGACATACTTTGTTCAAAATAGCATCCAAGTGCAGAGAATGCGGCCCTCAGTTCTAATCTAGGATGTTTGGCATTACCCTTTCAATGCAAGACTGAAAATGGGAAAGACTAGTCAATATGTCCAAGATGAGCAAGTTACACAACTCTTAGCTTCTAGGCTGTTATAAATACCTAGAGTATAAATATCTAGAGCAGGGGTCAGCAACTTATGGCACGTGTGCCGTGTATGGCAGTCAAGGTGCCTTTGCATGGCACTCAAGGCTTCTAGAGCCAAACAAGCTCTGGCCTTTCAGAGGTCACAGTCCGACTTTAGATATATGCTAGTGCAAACCAAGTGGTGATTGCAGGTGGTGAGGGACAATTCTCAATAATGCATTGCAGCACGTAGAGGAAGTGATCTCAGATCACTTCCTCCTAGCACTTGTGAACAATAATCCGCTCTGGAGTAGAGCACAGTAGCTATCACAGATCCTGTCCTTAACCTGTACCTGACCAGCTCGGTCCCCACTGGACCTAGATATATTTAATATATATATATAAAGTTCCAATTGCTTGCACTCCTGGATTAATAGTAAAAAGTCTGCTGCTTAACAGCCAAATAATAGAAATAAAGTAATGATAGCACTCCAAGGACTTCAAAAATATCGTGAAAAAACTTAGCTTTTTATTCAGGCATCTGCCACAGAAGATCAACGTTTCAGTTCTCTAAGGAACTTTCGTCATATATATCAGAATAAGCCTCTCCCTCATACAAATAATATAGACAGCTGACACACAAACACCCACCACTGGTATTATGCAAAATAGCACAAACTACTCACGAACCTAATCAATATAACAGCCCACATATGTAAAAAAATACATTACAAAGGAACTGCAGCACTCATATATAGCACAAGCACAATACGGTTACATACACACCTGAACTTAAAAAAAAAATAGGGGTGGCATGCCAAGGGACTTCCAGATCTTGTTTTGGCACAGTACTACCAAAACACTGCCTACTCCTGATTTAGAGTATGAAGTATTCCAATACACTGGAACAAGATCAACATACTTTTGAGGATATCATAATAATTTTATGTCGTTACTCTTTTACAAGTCTTAAATTAAAAAAATAATGGCAGCTGTGCATTGTATTAGCACAGTTACAAGGTTATTGTTGGAAATTATAATATCTCACCAGCGCCAGGTGCATTCAGGACTTAAATGCCATTCTCTATCAAATACATTACAAATGTCCTTTATTCAAAAACAAAATGATATTTGGACATACTGTGCAGGTGGAGCACAAACAAGGAAGATGCTAACGCACTTTATGCCATCCATGGAAATTCCTTTCAATGCTTCTGATCTGGAAGCATAGCTAAATTGGAGAATTTGATCAGTTTGCCTATTTTGGCCATTACATTTGAAATTTGCATTTAATTCCCTTTGAATTCACATTTTTTTTCACTTTAGTAAACAGTGATAGTCATTTTCAGTCATATTTTGAAATAAAGGTAGATCTTCATAAACATAAAACAAGAGACCAAATAGTGTAATATGTTCATAATACTTGAATTAAAATAGTTTGTCCCGAGTTATACCAATATTTTTATGCATAACTGGGAAACAGCTAATATTCGAGGCAGACTTGGTGCTCTGGCATTGCTATATTGACGACATTTTAATAATCTGGAGAAGAACTCAAGAGAACCTCAAGATGTTTTTTAACTATATTAATACTAATACCCACTCTCTAGTTTTTAATCTAGAGATTAATCAGTAACAAATAAATTTTTAGATTTAAATATATATATTGGTGACCTTGAGATCAAAACTAAAACTTATTTTAAACCTACTGACACTAATAGTTTTATTGATGTCAAAAGAGGTCACCATCCTTAATGGTTAGAAGGGGTGCCAATAAGTCAGTTTATCAGGCTGAGACAAACTGCACTTACCATGGTAAATGCTTGGAACAAGCACAAAGTGTAAGCAATAAATTCTCAGAAAAAGGTTACCCCCTAAAGGAACTAGAGATGGAGATAGAGAGAGTAGGAGAAATGAAAAGAGGTCATCTTGTCCTTGATAATAAGAATAAAAAGGAAATTAAAACATTGAAAAACAATTTTGAGTTTTCGTTGAATACTAATTTTAACTCTCATGCTTTTAATATTAAGCGAACTTTAAAAAAATATTGTCCAATTTTATTATAAGATGATATATTAGGTCCCAAAACTACCATCCAACCCTAATGTAATTTAAAAAAAAAGGAAGAAATTTAAACGAACTAGCACCTAACACTTTTAGGAGAAAACAATTTAAAAGGATACCACCAAAGTTATTTATACTTGTAGGTGCTGTATGTAAATCATGCTGTTTTCTACCTAGAGTGACCACTTAATTTCAAAGTAATGTTACTAAAGACATTTTTAAAATCAAGGGTCGTACTTTCTGTTCTTACACACATATTGTTTATCTAATACTATCCTTACCTTTTTGTGTCACTTTACCCCACTCCCTCTTGCATGTAAGCTCATTGAGCAGGGCCCTCAACCCCTCTGTTCCTGTGTGTTCAACTTGTCTGGTTACAACTACATGTCTGTTCGTCCACCCATTGTAAAGCGCTGCGGAATTTGACGGCGCTCTATAAATATCATAATAATAATAATAATACGTGTGGAGCACAGTAAGTGGAAAGAACGAGAAGACAGGCGAAAGTTCGTTTTTTAGAGTATCTAAATAACATAAAGAAACAATTAATGTCACATTCAGTCCCTTTACACTGTAATAGGTGTTCAAGGTTTGATCCATGTAGCTTGTTGTTCACTATCATAGAACAAGTCAAACTAAATGAGATAGAGGGAGCTCAAATTTTTTGGATCCACAGGCTGCAAATATTGCAGCCCAAAAGATTAAATGTAGACTTTGATTTAGTTCCCTTTTTATAAGTATTCTAAGATATATTTAGATTTTAGATTTTTTTAGTTGGTTATTTTATTTTTATTTAATATCTTCATATACCCTCTCCCTCTGGGCTTCTTAATTCACCAGTACAAAGCTCTGAGGACACACACATATATATATATATATATATATATATATATATATATATATATATTGAGTTGAATTTGGACCTTTTTATTGCTTATTATAATATTCCCAAGATTTCTATATAAACACTATAAATTCTACATAACAGAATAACATTTTAGGGTTTTTATGATCTTTATCCCTATTTTATAGTGTAGTCATATTTGGATTTTTTTAAATCTTTTTTTATATTTCATTGTTCGTTTACATAATGTTTAATTTGTGCCAAATTTGTATCAAATATGATACTAGCATTTTTTTT